ATCTATAGATATGTGTTATTCCAGGGAACAAATATGAAAAAGCTACTAGAATATTAGCGGACATGCTTGTCTTTGCGAGGAAGAATGCTCATCAAGGATCAAGTTTGATTGTAATATCGGAACCGTTCCAAGACGCCATGTTCGACTTTGTTGCTCAGTCTTTGAGAGGCATAGGTTACAATGTTGTATCAACCGACTTGGATTACATGGTCACCTTCGGAACTGCTGAATGGTCATCTAGAAGCAGGGTATTTGGAAGTGGATACTGTCAATGTGAGAGGTGCTTAATTGCTATAAGAATGGCTCCTGCTGTTAAATGCCAACATGGTTCGCTAGTCACTCCTTGTTATAGGGTTTAGTGTGGCTTTGTTCTCATCTAATAGCTTTTGTAACAAACAGTCTACTATCCTTGAGTAGGTTATTCTGCCACAAGAGAGTATTTTTTTGGTTTTAGTAGACGATCACAATCTGGATTGCTCGTAACCATTCTATGCAGACCTGCACTAATAGCATGGATTGTAATTTCATTTTGAAACCAACATTGACACTGCCGTTCAATGCACTTTTTTTTTTTTTGGTCTCCCAAAAATGCAACTCTATAGAGGAAGCTACTAAACAGTGTAATCTAAGAACTGCTCCTAAGTATCATAAAGAATCATCAGCTAAAAGGCAGCAAGAAACATCCGTGCTCTACAAAAATCCACAATTACCTTTCCTGGATGCATGTATCTATGGATAGCAGACAGCTAGAAACTTTTTAATTTTCGTAGCTACACTATATAATCGTCATTAGTGTAGTATTAATCTTCCTCCAAGTAAAAAATGGAAGGTTTAGGTTCACCATGTGGAGGATGCAAGTTCTTGCGTAGGAAATGTGTTGAAGGTTGTGTATTTGCACCATACTTTTGCTACGAAGAAGGATCATCAAARTTTGAAGCCATTCACAAAGTGTTTGGAGCCAGCAACTTCTCTAAGCTCATTTCTCATCTCCCTGATCATGACCGATGCGACGCGGTCCGAACCATCTCTTACGAGGCTCAGTCTCGTCTCCATGATCCTATCTACGGATGCGTCTCCCAAATCTTCTCCCTCCAACAACAGGTTTCTTTTTCTTCCTCTTATTTTTACTTAATTTCTTATAAAAATGTAAATTAAATATAGAGCTTTTGTTGTTGTTTTGCTTCATTATTTCTAGTGTGCTTACAAGTTGCTTCTATTGCTTGTCTGTGTTATAAGGTTGTTAGTCTACAAGCACAAGTGGTTTTTCTTAGAGAAGAAGCTTCTAGAAAGTTCCCTCGCGAGGATTGTATAAAACAAGAGAAAGTTGTAGCTCAAGATATGCCTCAAGATCTTCACAGTTGGTTTAACCAAGTGGCTTCGGACTCCAACCTTAACCAGATGAATGGTGTTGACCCAACCTCCATTGATCACAATGAGTCGTTTAGTAGCTCAAATGATTCTCTTTACTACCATGAAGTCATGTTTCCTTGGTCTGTTTGAGTACAAGTGACTAGTTTGTAAGAGATTGAAACTTACATCCTTCTAGAATCRTCTTTACTATCGGACTTTTCGACATGTTTTGCATCTCAGAAATCGAAGCCAACTAACTTTTTTCTTTAAATATAACCGCTTCTTCGATGATCTTTCGTAGAAACAACATGAGATCTTAAGCCTAAATACCAAAAAGAGTGGTTACTGAGAGAGTGGAGAACAAAATGTAGTGTAGGCTGTTTTTACCACTAGACACAAACTACAAAGCCAGAGAAACAAAAGCTACTATGCCTTCATGTTGGATTCAATTTCCCAAAAGACATTTAGTTAACAAAAGCTATGTCTTGCTTGTTTGGTTTTGAGCTTATCTCTTGTGCTTAAACCTTACTTTCAGCAAGAACTGCAACTTCACCTGTCCAGAGACAAAGTAGTCTTTGTCAGACATGTACACACCATGAAGCATATATAAGAATCAGTCAAAGCAATAAGCACGAAACGAATAGTGAAGTATCCCATTGTAAAACTTTGCAAGATATGTTGAAAGGGAACGATCATTTGGAAACAGAAGTTACCTGGGATGTATTGTAGACGATATACTCGTTGTACATGAGCTCAGAAGCCTTGACCTTTGATGAAACAGGTTTTCCACAGGGAACAGTCACATCATCTCTCCACTTGGCAAACTCTGAATCTTGAGGCACTTTCTTGCCAAGCCCTTTGGTCGAGTGTTTCCCTTTTGGAGGTTTATCCATGTACTAAAAAGTATTGTAGACAGGTGAAAACAGCGATGTAAGAAGAAAGAAAGATAAGGAATGTGCATACATTGATTCAAAATAAGGACCAAATGGGTAGCAGAAGTTAGAAAATGCAATATGGCTCACCTTAGCTTTTGTTAGCTCGTGTACTTCTCCCAACGCAACTTCACTCAGGAGCATTAGACCCACCGGGTCTTTCTTAGATGTGTAGCAGTACTGAGCACTTTTACTGACAAGGTCAGCAAAGTATATCCCCTTGCCAAACTGTAACACAAGATTTTAAGGAAGTTCAGAATCTCCAGCAAGTTGAATAGATTGCAAAGAGCCTTCAATTGATAAGATCCACACAAGCATTGGCACAGAGAGAGTACTAACCATGTAGCCAGTAGCAGGAGCTTCTGGAGGCGCAATTCTCAGACCTTGGTTCAGAATTCCAACAAAATTCGTCAACCGAGAACCTGAAAGCAGAGTAATTTTGGTTAAGCCAAGGGATTTATTAACACTGAGAATATCTTGTATCTGCTTCCCAAATCAGCTAATTCTGGCTGGTTGCAGTTGACTTACCATGCCATAGGAGCATCTTATTGCCAAGTTTTTCCCTGTAAGGAGCATATTTATCAAACTCTCCTTCTCTTTCAAGAGCAAAAACTTCCTCCAGTTCAAGGCTCCACTCCTGACAAATCCAATAACCAGATACTGAATTAGAAGAATGATGATAATTAAACATGAAAAACCAAAGAAGAGAACTTGAACTCACCGTATGTGTTGGGGCATGAGTTGTGTTAAGATACTTCTCGATCAACAGATAATCTTCGCTATCATGAGGAAGTGGTGAAATATCGCACTGCAGCTTCTTATATTTATCATCGATAGATTCAGTGCTATCAGCATCAAAACCAACTAATCTTGAAGCTATTTCGATATCCTGCAGAGCCTCGAGCATTTTCACCTGCGAAACACATGAAATAATTTTTTTTGTAGTGCAGAAAAAAAAGGCATGGATAATAAATAAACAAAACATCATGGTTAATGTTCTACGGCAAGTACCTTTGACTTAAAGTCATCGTCATCTCGGATAATATGAGGATGAATGGAAGGGATCATCGTAAAAAATCTATTGCTAGCATCAACAAGCAAGCTTTCTTTGATAGAAGGCTGGGGGTTGCTTTCAGTCAATAGCCTCTGTATCTCCGTCAATGCCTCAAAACCTGTATAAGAACAAACAAGAAAGAAATATAATTGAATGTAATGTAAACCTTAGAAATTATCTTCTAATGAACAAAACTACTTAGACAAGAAGGAGTTACCCTTTTGTATATTATGTTTGCTAAGCTTCCCAAGTGGCATCTCTGACATGTTTATCTCGAACTCCATCATAGCAGATCTGTAGACGTAATGATTTTATTACTTCAAACCACTTACAGGGAAAAGAGAGGAAGATAACGGTGAATAAGTTTCTAACCGGTATGTTTCCACATCAAAAAGCATCTTCATCAATTCTATTAACGGAGGAGCAAGGTTGCTACTGGTGTGAGCTGACTCTTTTTTCGCTAGTTGCTTGTTAACTCCATAATCCTGAAACAATAGATACAAAACAGTTTATGAAAGAATTTAGAAAATAAGAGAATCTGAAGATCCAAAGATATGGATGCTTAAGAGAATATACAATGTCCAACGGCAGAAATTTTCCAGGTTGTTTCTGGAAATTCTCTTTCTTTTCCCAAGATTCCCATGTGTTTCCAGTCTTTTCTAGAAATAGACGTTTGAATTCGTGAACCGCATCAGACTTTGGCATCTCTTCCAGTTTGTTACCTCCAATCTTTTCATTTCCAACTCGACCCCATTTACGAAATACGTAGCAATCTGAACCTTTATCTTCTTGGATTATCTGGAGGATGTAATAACTATTAACACCAGTAGAAAGATCAGACATGCTCAGAGTTGTGTTATAGATACTGTTCCCATCTTCAAGAATGTGACAGTGCTCTTGAAGGCCAGACGCTTCATGCACAGCGCTTCGCCCTTTTACTTTAACAGTGACAATGCCCTCACCAATGTCTTCCATTTTGTACTTGTCAAATGGAAGCTTCCTCTGCTTATTAAAACAGTCAACCAAATAATCCTCTCTCACGATTGCCACTTTCATCCTCCTGCCACATTACATAATATCAACACCAATGTTCAGACTAGAGCGAAAGACTGTGATGAGTTAAAAAGTGGGTACAATAAAGGCATCACTTTACCTTGCCTTTCTCATTTCAGCTTCTCGCATATCTGCCAGGTCACAAACAACCAAACAGCTTGTACCTGCAGATTTTTGAAAAAGTTATATTCTAAAAAACACGTTTACAATAGTCTAAACTAAACCCTCGAGCAGTACGTACCTTTTTTAACATTGGCATGAAACTCTGCACCAGCTTCCTCAATTTTCTTCTTCCATGCTTGCTGCAAAATGATCCCATCAAGCAATGAAGCGCAAAAATAATTTGGAAGTATCTGAAAAAGGGACATACACGTTCCTTAGAGGATCCAGCAATTGAAACTCTAAGATCTTCCAGCTTTTCACTCCTTAAGGAGCCAGCTCCATCTTTAGAACCTTGACCTTGAGACATTCCACCAGGTGATACAGGGTTCAGAATACGTTTTGGCTTCACACTCTTTTGCGACTTATTCCACTGCAAGGAATTAGCAGATAAAGATTAACTTAATGCCATTTACACCAAATCTAACCTAACCCATACCAATATCAACCTACAAGACGACTGACTTACCTTCAGAAGGAACTGATTTTCTGTTTCTTCAGGGATTTTCCACTTCCCTTTGATGCGGTCTGGATCATAAGTGCAATGAGAACATTTGCTCCATTCCGAGATGTAACCATGGCATCGGTAAACTCCTCCAGAAAAAGAAAGATGACCAGAGCAAAGTGGACAAAGAGCGAGTGGACCAAACATCATGCCATCAGCACTAAAAACAAAAAGGAGAGAGGTCAGGAATATGACTATGCATCGGATTCTCTAATTCAAACAAGCTTTTAAAAATATCCACACAACAGTAAGAGAAACAAAACAAGAGACATTTCAGAATGTCTTTTCCAAGAAATTTACTTCCAGACAGCTTAGCAACGTAATTACCATTTATCACGCAGATCAAGTTCTGATCCTCTTGGACTTTGTTCATTTGCTTCAAGCATTTCCCGCAACTCAGCTGTTGTCACATATTTTTTCAGATCATCCTTCAGGTCCCACAATTCCTTAGTTTGGGCCTCCATATCCCTTTCTTTGCTACAAGGTTGTAAAGCACCTCTTGTAGACATCTCCAAACTAGTCTTAGCTAATTTCGACTTCTCATTGTCATCAGAATTCATTCTTCGCTTTGTGCCTGCTTTTGAATTTGTTTGACGTGCTTCTGCTGTCTCTGTCCCGGTTGCGCCTAAAGAAATTAACAATTAACATAGATTATAGCACCTCAAATTAGGCTTATGTAACATGGAACTAGATTAATTACCAAACACCTTAAGACTCTTACCAGTGTCGGCTTTCTTCACCAAAGGAAGAAGAGCTTCTTGGTCTGAGTCTGGTATGCTTCTCCATCCAGACAAACTTTCCAAGTCAGTAGAAGAAGACATTTCTAGGAAACATTTTGCATGGTGCCACATCAAACCCTTGTTACCAGGGCCTTCAGGCTTCGAGAATATACGTACCTGGAAAAGAAAAAAAACATCACAATAGATAAAGTAAGGATGCTACAACCAACGAGATCTTATGACAACAGATAAAGTAAAGCAACAAACTTACCTCTCCTTTCAAGATCTTTTCACTACACTTTCTGCAACCAGCACGAGAAGTCTGCGACACTTCAATCCCATATTCTAGTTTGGCATTGCCACCGCTGCTGCTCGTGCTCGTGCTATTCCCTGCTCCAGATTCAACATATTTCCTTATCTTTTGCTGATCTTCCCAACGAAGTGATTCTAAGCCTTCAACATCATCAACTCTACCAAAAACAAGAGCCAACAATAAGGGTTGATAGCTGAAACGCTTTTCAAATCTGCACTAAATGACATTGGTTTTTTTACATACAATTTTATCTGCTTTGTTTTCTTGAGTACACAATCCGCATGGTGCCACATCTGTGTGAGGAAAACAAAACAACAGAGAGAATCTCAATCTCTCTAGTGGAACTAAAGGAGCATATAATTAGAATGCGGAAGTTAAAAGTAAAACAGGAATTGAACATCAATCAAAAGTATAGTATTAAGCTCAACAAATGATTATCATCACCAAAACAGAARAATTGAAAACGACATTGTTACAGGGAAAAAAAAAGATAGCAGTTCACATATGTCATTCCAAAAAGCATGAAACTTTCAAGCACTACATAAACAACAAAGTAATTAGCTTCACCTGCTGATTAATCAACCTCCATTAAGCATGAACGAAGAGAAGAACATAGTGTAAGAATAATAGAAAGTTTAGAAATTTCAAAACAAAGCTCAAATTTGCTTTGAATGTAGAACGGCCAAAACAGAATGAAACCCTGAAAAAAAAAACCCAAATTTGCCACACAAAAAGCCATAAAAGAAGTAACTTTATCATTCGAGAATCAAAGTAGAAGCCAGGTGTAGAATCTTACAGGCATAACGCCATCGAATTGAGTAGCTTGAACCAATTTTCCAAGACGAAACGTCTCCTTGTTAATGACGGACTTGCAAGTCTTGCAGGAAGACCTGGCGGACTTAGCATACTCCGCCCTCCACGGCTTTTGTGTTTCCATTTTTTCCGGTAAGAGATTACAGTGTTTGTGATGATGACGACGACGATGGCTTCTCGGTGACGCCTTTTTCCAGATTGTGTTTTCTACCGTTTAACACTTTTTTTCACCGGCGAGTTTTTTTTTTTTCACCCTAAAAAGCTGTGTTTGTTTCTCACTGTATCTCCGATTCTCTCAGTTGATTATGATTTCGATTATTATTAATTTATTAGGCAAATCTTTTATATTGTTTTTTTTTAAGTATATTGAATTTAATGTGATTAATCTCGATTTTCCACATTTATCATAAATCGAAACCGTTAGTGGATGGGTTTGATTAGTAATTTTTTAATGTTAAATAGTTTAAACATTTCTATATCTGTCAAAATCGGAAAAACCGTCTATTTTTCCACCAAAACTTTAATATATACGTTTATATCTCCCAAATGTTACCTTCTGTATATATCTCCACGAACTAAAAATTAGATGTTTATATCTCCACCAATTGAATGTTAAATGTGTATATCACCATCAACTCCGATTTCGATCGGTTTCGTTGTTAACCAGACAACAAACCCATAAAACCGTTAGTTAACCAAAACGACATTGTTAAATCATCTCAGCCGTTGATTCTTTTCCAATCAAATCAAACGGCCATAATCGATTCTTACACATCTCCCCCTCCCCCGCCGCCGGAAAGAGATCTTCGACAAGTGGTTTTTGGAATTGCAGCTTCGGCGAGGTTATGGAAACAGAGTTTTGACACCTTTTCCCACTCCATCAAATGACGGAGAGTGAGATTGTGGTCCTAACTGGTGACTTATAAGCTTGCTTATCGGTTT